ATAGACAATAAGCTTATATTAAGTAGGATTTTATATTGATCCACCACAATAATAATAGCTCTCAAACTAAACTTGAGGGTTATGTGGTATTGCAACTTGAACTGATGTATGTACGTACGTACGAAGTTTTGCGTTGTTGACTGACTGACTGACTGATATATTTATAAGAAGTGTTTGTATGGATTTATAAACATAGTTTTCACTATTAAACTCAGAAATTCATTGATATAAACGGTCAAAATAAAGATTCTATTAACTAACTGATTCTTATTTTGGTTAGTTAGCCATATTATTAATAGATAAACTAATGAGTAAAACTATTTTAACTATTCGTATACCCTCACATATTAGAAATTAAATAAGATGACATAACAGACACAAGTATAACAAACTACAGACTGTTAAGTTGATTGTAAAAATTACCATAGTTTGAACGTGTTCTTTATAATGGTTTTGCATTCAGATTAGTTACATAATATACTCTTGTGGATCAGAATAATTTTACATTGGTTTTTAGGAGAACCAGACACTATCCAGACTTTCACGTGACAATTTAAACAGTACAGCTCAAGCCCGTTTAACAGGAGAGCCAGAAACCGCCCAGGCTTAAAATTCATAGCTCAAATAGTACGACTCAATCCCGCTTTATAGGAGAACCAGACACCGTATAGGCTTTAACGCTACAATCTGAATAGTACAGCTCAATCCTGAGGCGCAACCACACGGGTATCAAGCACCCTAGTGGACCGTTCGCACCATTCATATACACATTTACGTCATATGTATAGTTATTCTGATCAATGATCGTGTGAATCAATTATGCACAGCACGAACAGGCCAAAGTTGACCTATTCCACTTTTACACGACAGTTAAACTCATTAATGTTAGCAATGGCAACATGCCTTACAATCTTTCAATGACAATGGTCCTTGAGAACACTGAAAAGCAATCATTACATTGGGGTAGAAGCTTCTAAATGAATGATCACTTAGAACTGCATTTATATGGTTAGGTATTGGTTAAACCCTTTTACATTAACTTACTCAATAGATAATCTTATTTGGATAGTAACAATTCGTCTATTTCTTTGTACTATTCTATAATCACTAGATCATATGAAATACTTTAGCTAAAATGTTGATCACTTAAATATCATCCTTTTCTCTATGTATATATGTACTAAAATCCTATTATTAGTCCGTGTTTTGTCTTGCTGCTCTCTTATGCAATTTGACTATAAATTTGCCTATGTAATTACTCGTATATACATATTCGTCTCTCCGTTTCAAATTCACTTGATGTGCATATAGCTTTATAATCAGCGCTATCCGCTAATAAACTGTAGTTGCTGCTTCTCATTACTATCTGATTTTAAATATCGTTGAGAATTTATAGTATAACAACAGTTATCGAAGTGATTGATGAATGATACAAAGCCACTAAAAACTGCATGTTATCAGCAGAAACTTTCACAAAGCAAACTAATCATAATTTAGTTTATCATACATTTCATGATTATACTATTATGATAATTATTAGAATACACTAAAAACTAATGACAAATAAACTGCGTCAGTGTTATATTAGTTAAAAAAATAAAACATATATCATCAATTCAGGTTTACCTTCGTTTAAAATAGATTATGATTTTTTTGATAATGAATTCTAGAACACTGAATTCATGGAAGTAGTTAATTCAATGGTAGTAATATATAAAAGAAAGATTGTGTATAAGGATATAATGCAAGAAGAAAGAATGAGTTCGTAGAGTTCAGAGTTTAAGAGAAGATAAAGAGTGTATAAACCTACGTCACTGCGATCAATTTTGAGCCATGTTATTCACAGTCTAATATCATTGGTTACGATAGTCACGCGTACCCCAACCAAGTAGAATGCATCTACCAACATGACTCAGACTAGAAGTTAGTGACTACAAGGATTGATGCCACGTTTTGATTTGGTCGCCTCTAACTTCCTTCCAACCATCCCCAAAACTAGTCAGCATTGCGTGTCGTGATAATCAGTGTTCAGGTATATGTAACACATGACCCAACCATCTCAGTTGATGAAGATTCACAGCCTCATCAACCGATTTACCTCACGATTACTTACCCGGTGGTCCCAGCAGATGCGAGCAATATTTCTAGGGCATCTGTCATCAAATACTAGTAAATTACGAGTATCTTCTACTCTTAATGACCACGTTTCGCAGCCGTAAAGTAGAACAGAACGAACTGCCGCACAGTATACTCGTCCCTTAATTGATAGACGGGTATCTCGCCCTCGCCATAGGTGACGTAAGTTGACAAAAGCCAAATGCGCTTTCTGAATCCGTGCTGATATTTCGTCAGACAATAACCCATTAGGGCTGATCATAATTCCAAGATAAGTGAAGTTGTCGACGTGTTTGACTACTTCACTCCCTATCCTTAGTTCAGGTGTTGACACAAGCCAGTCCTGAATCAACAACTTGCATTTAGAGGGTGTGAAACGCATCCCAAACATCCTGAAATTGTTGTTCAGTGCCATTAAAAGACTACATTTTATCAGCGTCTTTACCAAGCAGAACTATGTTATCTGCGTATTTTAGATCGATACGTGGACTTCCTGGAGGGAGATCAACGCCCGAGAATTCGGTCGACGAGAACGTTATTTCCTGTAGTAGGTCCACGATGAAACTGGGCGAAAATTGAGATAATGGACAGCCTTGACGGACACCATTTGAGATTGCAAAATCAGATGACAGTTCGCCATAAGCTCTCACTCGATTATTAGTGTTCGAGTAAAGAGCCTTTACAAGGTTTATGTACTTCTGAGGTATGCCTTTCAATGACAGACACTGATACAGAACCTCTCGGTCTGCAGAGTCAAATGTAACTTTTAAGTCAAGAAAGTACACCATTATCAGACGCCGGTAAGCATTTTTGTGTTCTCAAACCTGATAGAAACGACAGCAATAAAAATCAATTCTACGAGAAAATGAAATCAATCATAGCGAAGTGCTCAGGAAACAACCTGATCATCCTGATGGGACACCTAAACGCCAATCAATGACAAAGTTGTAGGTTCTTCTCTATTTACAAGCTTCGATAGTTTAAATCATATTTATAGAGGTCAATTACATTTGATCAATACACTATAGAAGTTTTATAATTAATCACTTTAACACAAATGTATTTCATTAGATAGCAAATATTAACAAAATTTTTTTTAACAATTCTGATTGTTCAAGGTTGACAATACTAATACTCTATGATGGAAATATTTCAATGAATGATGAATAAGAAATCAATATTATTAACTCTCTCTGTAATCTGTTTAACTAGACTACTTTTATGAAGTAATGCCAAGTTTATCAACAACAAAAACATTCAGCGATCACGTGTAATAAAACGTTGACACCGAAAAATAGAACATTTTTCTTAATCTTATAAAGCAATTCATTATATACGTGTTTATTCATATTAATACTAATATATTTGAGATATATGAATGGTCACAAATCAATTTGATTAGTTATCTTCAATTTTAATATGATTTTCATATGCAAAAATGGATATACACTGATTGAATTATTTATTTCTATGTAAGTTTATTTACTTATTTACTTACGCCTGTTACTCCTTATGGAGAAGCATAAGCCGCCTGTAGCGCTTTCAGAGTTACTATTAGTTCTAAGCACGGTTAAAGAAGGAGGTTTGGGCATAGGGTCTGCAACCCTAACCGGCAGGAAAAAGTCTTACTAAAAAACGTCGACCAGACTAAACTCTGTAAATCGACTTTGATGAAACGGTGAGACTATAATTTGTGGACATCCTTTGGACGACATTAAAGTCACCTTGAGAGTGTCCACCTGTTAACTAGGACCAAATGTGGGTTATAAATTAGTGTGAGGAATTCGAGTTATGATTTATGGTTAAGGTTAGAAATTAGATTAAGGGTGAACGGATTTTGCGCCAAAATCTGAGACCTATTATCTTATATCTGATTGGTTCGTACATAGATTGCAGCCTCGCCGATGAAACCATTTAATCTAATTGAAGTGTTCATGAATTCAATAAAGGCAAATAAAGTCTTGATACGCCATACATCCATGCAGTTTGTAGATTAAGTGTAGTGAATATGCATCTATATCTGGTTAGTCTTCAAATGACCTGGTACGGCTGAGAGTGAGGAGTGTCAGCTCTCCCTCTCGAAATGCTCTCACATGGCCACGTGAATACAAACACTGTTAGGAAAGTCCTACTCACTGGCTTCTCGCCACATTACTGTTGTTTACAAAACTGGGAGAACAAAAAGCTAATGTCCGGCGCTTTAACCGAATTGGTAGATACGGACGATCCACTTGGGGGAGATGGAAATCCCCGATTCCAAACTAGCGGTGCACATGGGCTTCATGACCCTTCGTAACGAGTATCAGAAAATTCCTCGAAAAAAGCCAAGAAAGACTCTGAAAATATTGAGAAGCATCTTATCCAATCAGCGTTCACTAGGAGTTTTGTCACAAACATCTAGAAAGTGAAAAGTCACATGTCAGCTTTCTGATTGGATGATTACTTATACTGCCACTATATTTAGTAGCGTTCCAAAATTTTCCGGAAATCCAAGGACATCTAAAATACTATAAAATTCCTAGATTTTCTGTAGATAAACGAACCTTTGGAGTAAAGTGTTTCTTACATATTTCGGGCTTTTTCTCTTGTGTTCAAATCTCTGTGTGGATCTAGCCTCGAGGTTACTAGAAGAGCTTAAGAACCAAATCTAGCGTACAATTAACAATTCTGAAACAACAAATGGTGTATAAACCTATTGTTGATCCCTGGCTATCATGGGACTGCATCTCCTTACATTGCTCCACTGCCTTGTAGATCAGCTATTAGGTTAAAGATTCCGCGTGTGACCCCCTAAGAAATCCGCCTGCTTTGGTTCAAACCCATTCATAAATAAAGTAACTTGTTTGGTACCCATCTGTTTATTGCAAGAAAACGAAAGTATATCTATGTATATGTATATATATATGTATAATATGGCAAAAAGAAAGGATACAACATTTCTATAATCAATTTCAAATTTGCTGCGAACATTTTATTAATAAACTATACTATTCAATAGTATTCGTACTCATAAAAGAATGAAAACATAAGAAGATCTCTTCATTGTATTGTAATTAATCCATGAGTTTCTAATGATTTTATAGCATTTTTTATTGTATCATTTATCATCATCTTATCAATAGAAATAGGTAATGGACCAACTGATATAGAACCAAAATAAATAGAAAAAAATATAAAACCAAATATAGATAAAATAATAATGAATAATAAACCAATATACAAACCTAATTTTACATTTGGATCTTGTTTTAATGAAGTAATCTTTGCATAATGTTCTTCTGAATCGAAATTATTATCATCTTCCAATACTAAGTTGCCAAATTTCTTCTCATTATCAGCTATATTAACATCACTTGATGTGATGACATAAATTTTCTTATGATTTGGATGTATATGAGTTGTGAAATTATGACATAATTTTAAACAACAACAATGATTACGTTCTATATTAGAACATGGATGATCAGCACAACCGCAGAACCATAAACATATATTTTTCATAATTTTATACCAATCTGATGATGATGAAGTTTGGGGTGTTTTTTTATCTGGTAAATCATGATCTATAATAAATAAACAAGAAAGAAAATTCTCACCAGAATAGACTTTAGTTATGATGTAAAATCATTATATATGAAATGAGTATGTCAGTCAGCTATAACGTAGGATCAGGCATATATATATATATATATATATATATATATATATATATATATATATATGTATCGGTCCAAATTGCCACACATCACTCATTAACACAACAAAATGAACACCAAATTCATAAAAGTAGTTAAGTCAATGATAGTAATATATAAAAGAAAGTGTTACATATGAGGATATAATGCAGGAAGAAACGATTAGTTCGTACAAAGATATGAAGCGACTTTAATCTCATAGTTTAAAGGAAGACAAAGAATACACACACCAACGCCATTATGATCCATTTTGAGTCATGTCATTCACAGTCTACAACCATTGGTTACGATAGTCACACGGACCACAACCAAGTAGAATGCATCTACCAACATGATTAAGACTAGAAGTTAGTGAATTCAAGGACTGATGCCACGTTTTGGTTTGGTCGCCACCCCCAAATGTCCTGGTACGGTCGAGAGTGGGGAGAGTCCGCTCTCTCTCGAAATGCTCTCACATGGCCACGTGTATATAGCCTCTGCCAGGGAAGTCCTACTCACTGCCTTCTCGTGGCAATACTGTCGTTTACGAAACTGAGAGGACGAAAAGCGAATGTCCGGCGCTTTCACCGGATCCCAAACCAATGGTGCACATGGGCCCCAGTATCCTGCGGGAACAAATGGCGTATGAACCAATTGTTGGTCACCGGCTACCATGGGACTGCATCTCCTGACGATGTTCCACTGCCTTGTGGATCAGACCTTTAGGTCAAAGGCTCGGGGAGTGGCCCCCTAAGAAAACCACCTGCTTCGGTTTGGGCACCCGGGCAGTATCGCAGCCCTCACAAATATCGAATAAGATTTGTGTAGCGCATATGTATTTGGTGCCTCCTTGTACCAATATCTGTGTCAAAATAAATAAATAAATAATTTTGGTCACCCCTAATTTCCTTCCAACCATCCCCAAAACTAGTCATGATAATCAGTGTTCAGGTACATGTAACACATGACCCAACCATCTCAGTTGATGAAGATTCACAACCTCATCAACTGATTTACCATCATTCCCTAATACCCTGTGTCTAACCTCACTATTACCGGGTAGTTTTCCGCATCGGGAAAATATCACAAATAGTAACGTTATGCAAAAGTTATCATTCAGCTATTAGTTCCATATTATCTGTTGAATACACAACATTAAATTCATCCGTAAAATATCTCATTTATACCTGAACACTTCAGAATAATATGATGGTGTACATATATGACATAACTGTTAGTTATTCTTTTATATTATGAAAATATTGAAATGTAACTGATTATGAAGAATATTGGTAAAAATATTTGATTCTTAAGTAATAACTTGAATTGTCGGTAAATTTAAGATTGTTTACTATTTTTCGACTAATATCAATTGAAAAATCATCTTAAACCGGGAAATATTGTATATCACAAGGGGTTTTTGTGGATATTATATTAATTTCAATAGTTGGGATCATAAGGCAATTAAAACTATACCATCATGGAAAACCTGAAATCACTCGACGGCAGTTTCGTCCTATTTTGTGGAACTCCTCATCAGTGTGCACCCACGATCTTGCCTCATGAGATTCGAACCCAGAACCCACTAGCCTAGCGTGTGAATGCTTAACCACTAAACCACTGAGTTGACCAGAATGCATCAATGTTAATATCTAACTTCAACTGATCCAAGAAATTGAGCGATACCGTTCAACATTGTCTTCAATGACTTATTATCTCACAACAGACCCGATTTAAACTTCACTAGTCATTACTTCTCACTAAAATTCCAGTAATATTTATATAATATATTGAATAAAACAAAACACTTGAAACACAAACCTTCCATAGTTTGATTATTTACAAATTCTTTTTGCTGTTGTTGTTGTTGTTGTTGACATTCAGAAGTTGATGATATTTCTCTTTTATTAATGATTTCATTATTTTCATATTGATGATAATGAACATTATTAATCATATTAACATCATTCTCACTCATCACATTCTCTATATTATTACGAATCATTTCATTAGATGAAATATGATTATGTAATGTTCTATTATTATATAATGAATGATTAATGGATTTATCCCATGCAGTCCAATAAGTTAAATGTTGTAATTGTTCATTAGTTAATTGTTTTTCATTTAATGATAATAAACATACAATAATACCACATGTTATAAATGAAAATAATGCAAAATACATATAATGTATATTTTTAATAAACCATGGTCTATGATCATATTCACCACATATTGGTTCATGATATATAATAGTTAATATTATTCGTATTAAACCAATAATTAAACCATACATTAATCCATAAAATGCTCCCTTTACATTAAAAAAAAGGGTTAAGCAACAATTGAATAAACTTTATTAGGTATAATAATAACTTATTAATATGTGATTTTTACATATCTTTCAAAAAAGAAAATGAATAATGGCTCTAATGGATTTAGTAGCTAACGATACTGGGTTCGAGTCCCCTGGGGTGAACATCAACTCTCAGATGTAAGTACATCCAACTGAAGAGTCCAAAATAGAACGAAATGCATGTCAAACTGGATTGCACTATTAGTCATTATCCATCTTTGCTTAGAAAAGCAATACACACCGTATGTACATATATACCAATAAGAGACTGATCTATTTCAATCCTAAACACCAATGAGAAGATTCAAACAAATAATACTAAGTGAATTTAGAACAATAATGTTTCTAGTGAAAGGTTTAAAAATTTCATGTTTAATTCTAAAGAATTGTTAACAGTATTTTATTGTCATAAAAAGGCCGCCAAACGCACTTATACGGCCGAGGGTGGGGAGAGACAACTCTCCCTTTCGAAATGCACTCACATGGCCGCATGTATACAGTCACTGTCAGGGAAGTTCAACTCACTGCCTTCTCGCGATGGGAGTATTGTTTACAAAATTGAGAGGAGGAATAGCAAATGTCACGCGCTTTAACTGGGTTGATGGACAGGGAGAGTACATCTAGGGAAGTTGGAAAACCCTTATTCTAAACCAATGGTGTAAATGGGCTCCAGTATCCTAAAGGAATAAGTGATGTATGAATCAATTAGTGTTCACCGGCTATGATGGGACTGCATCTGCTGACGTTACTCGACTGCCTTGTGGATTATACTTTTAGGTCGAAGGCTCTGAAGGTCGCCCCTTAAGAAAACCACCTGCTTCGATCTGGGCACCCGGGCAGTATCATAACCCAGTTCTCACACAGATTGGATGATGAATAGTGGCGCATATCTATTTGGGGCATCCTTTTACCAATGTTTATGACATTATGGCTTGATAACGTACTGGGTCAGGGCATTCTAGATAGTTTCTATTTCTAATTTGTGTCATACTTAGCAATTCATATACTTGATTTCATATGAACATTCAGACAAGTAACCCTTAATTTCGAAATAAATAGTCCACGTTTTCAAATAAACCAGTACATAATGGAGATTGACTAACAGAAAATATCACTGGTTGGAATTCTGTCTCAATCCGGAATGAATCAACATCACAAACTTCAGATTAAAATGTCTCATATATTAAGTCCAAAATTTGTACTCTAAAAAGTGACATATAGACTCCTGGTTTTTACCCCTGTTTAGTTCTTCACATAATGATTAGCCCGATATGCAGTGGATATGGATGAAAAGTAAAATATCAAAAATATTGTGAGCGGTCCAAATCAATGATTTGCGTGATGTTCAACCGCCAACTTTGTAAAGCTTTTTGACCCGATTCTGCAATCCTAAACATTGCGACACCACTCATATCAATAGTTTATAACCTAATTATATAGTGACATGGCCACGTTTAATCCATCGTGTGTCGAAACATGATATGGCTTAGTAAACGTAAGAAATGACAGCCGGATTAGATTGGGAATTTAAAACTCTGTACCAAATCTGAACACTGTTCGGTTTGTAGCTCCTAAACGTGTACTGTTCATCGAATACCACAAAGTTTATTTACTATGCTTTCTTTAGTCATTAGTCAATAGTATAAAATGGGTTGTCAGGGTATACAAACATCTTTTGACAAAAGGTCTGATATCTAATCAGTATCTTACTGTATTGATTGAGACCTTGGACTGATTGGTGTTAGACCACCATTGAAAACCTGGAAGCACTGGACAGTCGTTTCATCCTATTGTAGCACTCCTCAGCAGTGCGCGTCCACGATCCCGCTCGCAGTATTCAAACTTAGGGCCTTGACCACTGAGCCGGCGTTCAACGTCGTTAATGTCTGACTTAACCAATCCACGAAATCGCGCAACAATCTTCTATTGTACTGAGGTAGATACCTGTCTCTACCTGACACGGATTGACTCCACCGTTCACGGCTTCTCACTAGAACTCTGAGAATTCCCTCACGAAGTTAGTCAGTAGTATCTTATTAACGCTTAAAACAATAACGAATTGATGAATAGATAATAATTAATTACCTTTTCTGTAGTTCGTTTAATTAAAACAGCGCATAAGTAAACTGAAGCTACAGGTGGAGCAAGATAAGCTGAAATAGCTTGAATATAAATAAATAATTGACTGCCTTGTAATTCTTGAATGACAGGAATCCATGCAATACTCAATAATATTAATATAATTATAAATATTCTGGAAAAAAAACACAATGAAAACAATACTGAATTGTAGGACAAACTTTCAACAAAAAAAAATGCATGGAAACTCTATTATACGGTGGAGGGGAGTGTTAATTTATTCAGAAAACTAATCTGATTAAATATATTAATGGAATAATTTAATATTTATGAATTGACAATGTGTTTCTATGACTCAACAACAATAAATGATAAGTGTGTTGATTGTGGTATGTGAAAATTAATAATGCCTTCAACAAAACAACATAGAAACTATTGAAATTTTTATAAATGTGATTTCAATTTTTATTGTTTTCCACATGCATGTGGATCAACTTACTTAGTTACTTAATTTACGTACTCCTGTTACTCCCAGTGGAGGATAGGCCACCAACCAGTATTCTGCTTACCTTGTAACGCACTTGGGTGCTTTCCTCAATGTGTATCCCATCCACTTCCAGAGCTTCTTCCTGATTTCTTCCTCCGTTGTGATCTGATTTGTTCTCCTCACAGTAGGTTGTTGCTGATAATGTCTGGTCAACGGATCCGAAGTGTTTTGCGTAGACAGCTGTTAATAAACACTTGTATCTTCTGGATGATGTCTTTCGTAGTTGTTCAAGTTTCTGCTCAATACAGTAGAACTGTTTTGACATTTGTGTTGAAAATTTTGACTTTGGTGTTAGTTGACAGTTGTTTGGAGCCCTTTCGATGTTACTGTCAGTCTCAATCCCAGATAAAGGAAGAGGGCTAGGCATGGGATTAGCGACCCCATCCCGTAGAAAACTAACTCGCTAGAAAACGCTGTGGGTCAACTATTGAAGAGTTATTAGTTCGGAACATAACCACAGTTCTTAAAAGTTTCATCTCTTAAACCTTTTTGATCTACGTCAGTTATATCAACTATGCATTATTCACAGCACTCCTACAAGCAATCGTTGTGGTTTCAAATGTGCTATGTGAATTCAAAAATGGCTACAAAGAAACACGGTCAGTAATAGCTACCCTAAATGACGTACAACATGAATTCGAAAAATAAAGAAATCAAACTTACCGACTTACAACCATTATCTCCATATTCTTTGCTTTTTTCCTAATTTTCAAATAAACGTCAACTGTAAACAACGTACTAGCAGAATTGAAAATCGAAGTTAGATCAGAAATTAATGCAGCTAACATCACGGCCAACATAAGGCCTCTAAGACCTAGAATTGAAAGAAGTGCAGGATAATTAATCGAAAAGTAAATAAACATAGGATTATTTTTGTCAACGAAATTTAATGCAGAATGATTATCAATGGTTGTAGCGCTTGCATGAATTGACAAATATTTTGCAAAATATTTCCCACTTCTCCGATATTTGATAAACTTCCTCAATGTGTTCACAGTTTTCTCTTGTCTCTGAGCGTTCATTGGCTCATGAATACCAGTGAACATTATCGACAGGACCAGGATTCCCATTTCAATAATTCAGTGTACCAATGAAGATTGCATTTTGAATTCTGATACCAACAAAGTGATGCACTTTTTAATGACAACTTTGAATAAGACATTTCATAGGTAGAAGAGATTGTAGACACTCATGGAACTTTGAATGAATTCATAGTTGATTATTTCATTATATAACTTGAGGATGTTTAATAATGAAGTCGTCATATAGCGGCTGAACTGGTAAACAACTTTCGTGTTCTGGGATCAATGGGAGACGCTTGTAAATGATGATAAAACATATTCTTGAGCAATCATGACATCAATGTATAACAAACATAAATTTGTTCCATTACTGTACAGGTGGTGCTGAGAATCCTTTACCATAACAAAATGTATAGTAATAAATAAACCTAATACTTATGGTCTTAGGCAACTAGCATAACGAACACTGAATGATATACATGATCAATAGATAATTAAATCAGTTCAGTCTTCTATTTCGAGTATTCATTTTGTTATGGCATTGAAATCTAGTGGTTAAACCTATCGAATTTGTGAATAAAGTTTGACATTACATTCACATATCCTGAAGTAAACGATATATAATGATGAAGCTGAAGATATTCTTCATTACTTTATAGTTGGAAAGTGTTTTATAAAAGAAACAAATTCTTTATCAATATAATATTGTATCTGTTGGGATATTCAGAAAAAAATCCCAAAAATTATCCTGTTAAGCCTAATGCTATCCTTCAACTTGGAATGGCATCATTTTCCTATTGCTCAATACTTATTTCACGTGTCGTTTCCCTACTGGTCAGTATTTATTTTACGTGCCATTTTCCCGTTGGCCAAATATTGTACAAATGTTATTTTCTATTTTATGGTACGTTGTGGTCTGCTTGATTGGTATATAAACAGAGTATGTTTGAAATATAATGATTCATATCGCAGAGGCTGAGACTTGTGTTCTGGACTCAACTGGCTGGGCTAGACAGGAATCAGAACCAATCAGGACTCTAGGCCGTTCGCACGTGTTCTATGCGTCACTGGTTCAATCGATAATTCGCTGCCGTCTAATCTGCAGACACAAGATATAACAGTATCCTGAGTCGACATATTCAAGATACATTTTTGTAAGTTTTACCAATTTCACTTGATAAGCTTTGAGAATTAAATATCAGATAGATATTGATTATCATCTAGTGACTGATAGGCGCTACACACAGTTATATAATTTGTTTACATTTCATAGGAATATCTAATCAGTATTTAAAATATGAATAGCAAATTCAACTAATTATAAGAAAAACGGTAATAATATAAATAGGATGACAGTGGAATAGAAATAATGTAAGCGTATTTCATAAAACCTGATGACATAATATTAAGTACAAGTTTCGGATAGGCTAAATTTGAGCATCCGCTTCTTTGGATTCACTTGATACATTTGCTTATATCCCATTGTTGTTAAGGACTGAAATTGATCAGTCTCTTGTTGGAACATGTGTATACTGCCTCGATATTGCCTTAATTCACAAGCTTTATAAGCAAAAATGGATAGTGACTAGTAGTGGAATCCAGTTTGACACGTTTCGTCCTATTTAGGACTCGTTAGCTAGGTGTATCTATACCTCAGAATTGATGTTCACTCCGGGACTCAAAACCAGTAACATTCGCTTCAAACGCCATGGCGTTATCAACTTAGCTAATGATTACTAACAGCCACTTGCTTGTACAATGGATTGACGTATAAATTCACTTGATATTGTTTACCTGAATCTTCCCATTGATGTTTAGGACTGCAATAGATCAGTCTTTTGTTAAAATATGTGCATCCCGTGTGGAATGCGTCAATATTGCTTTGAGTCACAAGCTTTTTGTCCAAAAATTCGAAAACAAACTGGTCCAAGTTTACAACCAATCACGATACTCGTGAGGCGTGAATGCACTAAGCGTAAATCCTACTGAAACGGTTTAAGCAAGAACAAAGAAGCCATTCACTTAGTTCAGACATATAATGATTATCCAGTTGATCTAAAACTATAGCTAACTTGATAAAGTTTGAGAATTAGACAGTAGAGAGTGATTCATAGGCGATACACACAGTTATATAATTTGTTTACACTTTGTAGGAATATCTATTCTGTATTTAAATTATGAATAAGAAATTCAATTGGTTACAAGGAAAATGGTTATTTCATCAAACCTGATGGCATAATATTAATTACAAGTTTCGGATAGGCTAAATTTGAACATCCACTTTTTTGTCCGCATATTCGATAACAATCTGGTCCAGGTTTACAACCAATCACATCTGATAAACAGTAGAAAATAAGAGATATTGTAGAGATAAAAGTAAATATCTAATTCTACAATTAAAATATTTTAGTCAAGTATAAAAATCATAACTCAGCCTGAAGCCTCTCTGAGGTTACTGCTGGTCCCAAGCCCGGTTAAAGGAAGGGGGCTGGGCATGGGGTTAGCGACTCGATAAAAAAAACGCTAATCAGAAAATTATGAAAATCGTACATTAAATACATCATTTACACATGTTTGCTTTGTCTTTTACATACTTCATGATTCCTCTGATTCTTTTGTTATTCCAATAGCTCTCCGATTTACTTCATGTTCTCTTCATTTTAATCTTTTGCTGGTAGGCATTTCACTACTGTTTGCTGTAATATACTACTTATATCTATCAGCTTAAGTAACATATATTATACACTATCTTATATTGTGTTTATCTATTCAACTGATTTTAGTTTGTTTAGTTAGTTATGTATTGCTTCTTGTACGCTTGTTTATCTATGAATATGACGAATAATAATATGTAAATTAGATTGATCACTGTAATAAAAAAATTACTGTTCAATTAAGATCTTTATCGGTAGTTTTGACAAACATATACGCACACTACCATATTTGATCATTTCTGAATCCTAGATAGTGCGATAACTGCAATGTCACTATGATATGTACAATAACAAATGTGTAAAATAGTTTGTGAAATCTGTCCCTGATACTTTAATGCATCAAGAACATAAATCTAGACTTGGTCTTCATTGAATTTGTCAATGTATTCAACAATTATTCAGTAGTTAATAATCCAACATTTCACTAAATAGTGATCAACCATAACTGTGACTATTTTAGGACGATACAATTAAACTATATTGGCTGGAACAATTATTCATTTAAGTCCTACTATGCTGGGCAGGTTGGGGTTAGTGTTTTATTTTTAGCGAGTTAGTTTCCTACGGAATGGGGTCGATAACCCTATACCCAACCACCCTCCTTTATCTGGGCTTGGGACCGACAGTAACATCAGAAGGGCTCCAGGCGAAGTTTGGCGACCAGTGTAGCAGCAGCCTGAGCAGCAGTAGGTCCTAACATACAAAAATGGAAAAGCAAGATTCTCCGGTACAACACAACATATACCAATCAAACTACACTTGATCGAGAAGCTTTGGAAAATGTAAAAACCTTTACATATCTGGGCAGCAACATTGACGAACACTGTGAATCAGAAAGAGATGTGAAGGAACGGATTAGCAAAGGAAGAGCAGTATATCTACAACTGAAAAACATCTGGAACTCAAAACAACTATCAACCAACAACAAAGTCGAAATTTTCAATACAAATGTCAAAACAGTCTTACTGTATGGAGCAGAAACTTGAACAACTACGAAAGATCATCATCCAGAAGATACAAGTGTTTATTAACAGCTGTCTACGCAAAACACTTCGAATCCGTTGACCAGACATTATCAGCAACAACCTACTGTGAGGAGAACAAACCAGATCACAACGGAGGAAGAAATCGGGAATAAGCGCTGGAAGTGGATGGGATACACATTGAGGAAAGCACCCAAGTGCGTTACAAGGTAAGCCCTCGCTTGGAGTCGTCAAGGCCAAAGGATAAGAGGAAGACCAAAGAACTCATTACGCCGAGAAATAGAGACAGATATGAGAAGAATGAACAAGCATTGTATAGAATCAGAAAGAAAGGTTCAGGATAGAGTTGGTTGGAGAATACTGGTTGGTGGCCTATGTTTCACTGGGAGTAACAGGAGTAAGTTAGTAAGTAAGTAATGATAGGCAGGTTGAATAAAGAGCAGTGGGACTACGGGCAGAAATATTATGGTCGAAAGATGAGGTTTCACTGCTGACTGTACTGAGATGTGACGGTAGTAATGTGTTTTCTCAGGTAACTAGCATTTGAAGTGATGCTGCCTTACCACAAGAGAGGAGAAAGGGTATAAAAGATTGGTTTTTAAAACTTTGTACCACACATTACTACACAGATTTCTTTCGCTAGCGACAGATCTTGAAAAGGTACCGAATCAATGATTGTGAAACATCATTGAGTTCCAGTGGCATATACTGAATTGATAAATCTTCAAAAACTCATTTTGACAGTCTTGGAGAACGATGAAGGTCAATGTCAACTATAAAGTAAGCTGGCTAAAATTTACGTAATGATTGTGCACAGTGGTGAACAATGGACTCAAAAGAGATAGAAAGGGTAGTGACAACAGATTATGTTTAACAACTATTCTGACTCATCAGGGAGACAGGTACTCTTTTAACATTCCTATAGGTAAGTCAAGTGTTGTTAACAAAGAATTGGATGTTACTGATGAACCGTTTTCTCAACTAGTTATACAGGTTTCTCAAAAACTAAAAAGGATAGACTAAATAAGAATTGGCTTACATCGTAAACTTTGAAATAAACTAAACCTTTCAAAAAACTAATAAACTCAAATACAATACATTTGAAACTAAATTGTACAGAAATAACATTTTATTTACCTGGAAACAATATTCGACTTATCATTCCAGGTATTACAATTAAAAATAAAGGTAACTGTTTAATAAGACCGGCCATTAATGTGGCACCTTGAGCATGTGATAAACTTTTTGCAGCTAAAACACGTTGTACCATCATCTGTATTGTATTAAACAAAAACAAAAAAGTTTAACTGTTAAGTTATACAATAAAGAAAAGCTGTAAAAAAGGAGAAGTAGATAAATGAAACATACTGTACGGATTACCTCGATAAAGCCTTAAGTTACAAGCTTTTCTAAAGCAAAGATGGATAGTGGCTAGTAGTGGAACCTAGTTTGACACACGTTTCGTCCTATTTGGGACTCGTCAGATGGATGTACCTACATCTCAGAGTTGATGTTTAGGACTCGAACCCAGTAGTACCGTTCGCTTCAAACGCCATCGCGTTATCCACCTAGCTACTGAGTGTTACTCATAGCTTATGCGCAGTTGTGAATTTATGTCACTATTATCGTTATCATCAAAGCATAGAGGTAGATCATTGCTACTGGTTCTGGTCCAAAAGGTTTATATCTGATACCCAAAATACATATATAACTAGGCCACAAAATCAAGTATAAGAACTGATTACAGTAATTTGAGGATTATATAACTGCCCTTAAGCAATAATATTCTAGGCCATAGTAAATAAAGATATTTGGGAAGTTTAGTATTCCCTGTTATTTTTGACCTTTCATTACACATTGATATTCAATTGAACTACAAACAAGTGTTAACAATAAAATAATATACGGTCGTCTTTCAAGGTATACAACTTGGTTAATTGTTATTTCCGATGACATACCTGATCAGTACACCAATACCATATAGATGCAGGTGTTTGACCAAGTAAAAACCCAAGCCATGGCATATCAGGATCATCAATTCCACGTAATAATACAAATGCATTTTCAGGTGGTAGACTACATCTCAAACTAGAAGGGACATCTGGTGAACTTGCCAATTGAGTTAGTGAAGTATAATTTGTTGTGTTAAGAACATTCGCCAAACTGATTATTATGTCTGAATCTGTACTTGATGAGATATTTATCGGGGCTATAGCATGACCATAAGAAGAAAGGACACCACTAAAGCCTCCAACATTTATGTAGCCTAGATAAATAAACAGAAAAATGAAATTTCAGCGTTTATGTGTAAATATAAGTAAACCGACCACTTGTGAAATTCCTTAAAAAATATTTGTAACCATAGTATTTGCAACGATATTCGAAGAGAAATCTAGGTATTGTTTCACACTTTACGTTTGACGGATACTTAACGTTTCTTGATTACAGTAGTATTGACGTTTTCGTCTTTTGAATAGTTGTGTTTTAAATTCTAAAAAAATAAACGTTTAACATTCTTATTTTTAAACTGTATCTTCAACAAAATAAATCGTACCAATGTCAAAACATGGCATTTCTCCATAAAGACATTGACATTTGGAGTTATCCATCCAGGTAGATTCGGACCAACTAGATAAAGCACGTGTGATTATCGTAATTTGTGATTGGAGACTTTGGATGACACGGCTCAAAATCATTCGCAGGTGTATCCACTTTCTGTCTTCTTTTAGATCCTAAGATTTTAAATTCTTCATAAATTCGTCTGATTATTTTACTAAATTTATTTTTTCCAGGATCGTATCTTCGATCCTTAACTTCTATAATGAATAATACTGTTATTACGTCTTCTACTCCGAGATTCTCCCTGGCGATTCACTTTTGTTGTGCTAAAGTCAGTCAGTCATTAACAACGTAGAACTTCGTACGTACGTACATCAGTTAGAGTTGCCATAACACATTAACACTCAGATACAATTGTCGATTCAAATCCCATAGTCGTAGAGGTAGTAAAAGTATAAGCAGCAATAAAAAACATTAGGGTTTAAAGATGTTATTTAAGAAGTATAATCCAGTGAAATAAATTTGGAAAGAGAAAAAAAAGACAAGGAGGAATCAGGAGATTAGAATTTGGAAGAACACAAAGAGTGGATGCATCAGCGTAATTGAAAACGAATTTGAACCATGTCATTCAATGTCTCTAACCATCGGTTGCTATCGTCTCGCGGATCCCAATCAAATAGTCTGCATCTACCGACATGCCTCAGTCCACTTGTCAGTGACTTCATGGATTTGTGCCATGTTTTGGTGTGGCCGCCTCTAGCTTTCTTCCAACCTACTCCTACACCATAATACGTCGCTCGACGGGACAGTCGTTGGTTGGGCATACGTAACACATGTCCCAGTCATCTCAATTGATGAAGTTTCACTACTTCATCAATTGATTTGTCATCCTTACTCAGTGCCCGTTTCCTAACAACTCCATTACTTACTTGTTGGTCCCAGGATATACAAGCATGCATCGAAGACACCTAAGATCAAATACTAGTAACCTACGAATATTTTCTACTCTTACCGGCGATGTGGTATAGCAACTTGCAGCTGTATAAACTTGTCAGGCTTTGTGTTGCGCATGACACTGCATTTATATGTTGGGAAGTAATAGCTCGGAGGAGAACAGGCGATGTTGTAGGTACTAGTAGTCATAGCGAAAGTAAAAGGGGACTACATAAATGTAAGGAAATTACTAAGAGGTTGTACAATTATTCCACATGAATAGAAAGGAAAATGAAATTCGTATGAAAATCAGTAAGAACATGTTGAAGATGAAAATTAGAAGACGAAAAACTCTCTTAAAAAAACTCAATGGTTATTTGATTAAGTCTTAGTTACCATGCCAGAGGAAGACTGCTTATTTTATTCTTCGAAGTTTATTGTTCTTGCTCTGTTTAAAACCATGAAACGATTTGCTATCAACCCAGATAGCTAGCTAAAAAACTCTTAATGAAATCGATAATCAATCGTGGACTCCATTACTAGCCACTACGAAACAACATGTGTTGGGACAAATGAACCTTCTAAAATGAGCTATCCAACATGCTATTTCTTCAGAATTTTGAGAATAAAAAATCAGATTCAATCAGTTATTAGTAACATTAGACCTGACACATATATATCGGTTCAAGTTGCTGTAGCAACCAACATCATGCATCAAGGTAGACGGCGGCTGTATTTCTATAAACTTTGAATAGCTCTTGTTTGAATATTTATAAAAATCAATAAAATATTTCGAATTGTTCTCGGATTGATTCTAATGAGCTTATATAGTATAAATCAGATCTCAGCATTAGAACATCAGTAAAGTATATACTGCCAAATAATATTTAACCTTTATTCACAGGGATATTAGTTTTAAATTTCTATATACTGGTTAGTTGGAGAAATGACTTGTACAGTAAATTTTATATCATACGCTAATCTTAATAACGACACCATTAAGTGCTGATAGAGAATAGTATTAATCCGCTTTTAGTTATGACATTAGATATTTGTTTGGTATAGACTTATAGCATAAACTTGCCAAACCATTAGAATTAGTGAATTATCTTGTTCTACATCATCATATGATATGAATGTTAAATTCATCGTCGAATCCATCTTAATCTCTATATCGCCATTTGTATGCAATTTTTCATTCAGTTACGTTAATGAATAAGAAACAACTGCTTGGTGTTTCTCATATTTCAAGTAATTAATTAACTTAACGGGAGCTATTGGTATTATATTAGGGCTAAAAAAGAAATAAAGAACATGACAATAACGAATTAGCTATCACGAATAAATCAGAACACACATGATCTTAGCTCAGAGAGCCGAGAAGCAAATCAGAGGTAATTTATAATTGGTATTTATGAAACTGTTAAATATAGAGTTCCAGTTCTTGATATCTATTGAGAAATACATTCGTTTTGATAGGAAATATAAGAATCGAACAAGTTACTTCAGATAAATCCATTTTCAATGACTATCTCAAAATTGTTTGAGCTTTAAAGCTTCAATAGTAGTTAGTCAATAAACTTACTTATTATCGCTAATATTAAAGCACCAATTATCATCACGAAAAACTGTAGTGTATCTGTATATAGAACAGCTGCTAATCCACCTGAAACAATTAAGAGTGAATAAATGAAATCGATTATCTTCATTATGCATTAATATTGACATTATTCTGAACAATATTTTTCATGGTTTGGGGATCCTCCACATGGATATTGTTCGGTAGCTCAACAAACTTCCTATTCCAATCTTGTCTTCTCACCCAAATAATCAGTTTGAGTGGTTAATGCGTAGGATGTTGTATATCAGTATCAGATCTTGAACACTGCTCATCATAACAAAACGATGAACAGTCGCCTTTCTGTGTATTTCCACAGGATGTTTACAATGGACTGATAAATAATGTTGATCAAGCAATTCAGATAAAATCTTTTCCCGTTTCACTACTGAAACGAATAAAGAAGTGTACAGCTTGTTCAGAAATCTTATGTCTCCTGAAAACTCTACCATCTTCAACTTACTTAGTGGCTGTTACCGATTACTTCCATATACTCTGCCTCGGTAGATATAGAACAGCTCATTTCGTGTTTTGAATAATAAAGATTCGATCTATTACTAAACAGTCAATCTGTAAAACATATCCTCGTGATTGCTTTTTTTGCTGGTATAAGCACTCCAAAACTTGCGAAAAATCTATCTAAATCTTGTTTTTTCATTTACACACTGCTAAAAACTTTTGTATCACCCCTAGTTTTAATAACGACTGCTTCAGCGATTCGCGTACACAATTCAATATCTTGCTAATCAAATTACATAACTCTAGTATTTGTCAGAAAAACCGGCGGTCTCAAAGATATAAACCATGTCAGTTTCAGGAATGCCGTCAAATACCAGACAATGTAATTTGTATAGCAAACTACACCTCAATATTCTTACGATTTTCTTGCCCGTACTGTTACAGATGCGGTAGAGTCAGACCATTGTAACTGGTTTGAGACCGTTACAGCTGGTTAAATACGATAGTTTCCACTGTTTCTGGATAGAACTCACTTAACTTAACTAGTAGAATAGAGTTATTGATACTTGTCGTGTCTTACAGTAGGAATTCAAATATGACAGTAAATTCAACACAATATAATGATCATTTAAAGCCATAATCTGATTGATGAAAAAGAATTCTAAATGAAGATAAGAATTAAATTCTGAGACTAACTATGTATACATTTGAGTGAAGCAATCTATAATAAACCTAAATACTTATCCCTTTATGTAGTTTTATTTGTGACTGGAATTCATCGTTGATGATAATTGTTTCAAAATTCAACGAAATTCATCAGTTTATTACTATGGAAAATAGAAGCAGATATGAAAAGGATGAATTACAACCGGAAAGAGCTGGAAAGGATTGCCCAGGAGAGGGTTAGATGGAGAGTGCTGGTGGGCGGCCCATGCTCCTCCACGAGAAATAACAGGTATAAGTGAGTAAGTATCAGTTTATCACCTCTGGAGTGTTCAATACATTTATCAGTTTAGTCATCTAAAAACCGATTAAATTCTATTTGACATTAATGGGTGATTTATGGAATACTAAGGTCATGCATGACATGAGTTAAAACTGACTAGTTTTCTATGCTTATTTCTGCTTTTTGCTTTAAATAGGAAACTAAGACATCATTATATCCAATCTGAAGGCCTATATTATTCATGTTGAAATCATTCCATTGAGGGATATTTATTTCTATTAACTATGAATAGTTCTCAATACGTTAGAATCTATTCACTGTATTTGTACGTGAGTTGAATAAATAAAACAAATATAGCAATCCGACCAAGAATGGTAGCTTAACCCTAAACGACAAACTGATTCAATTGCAAACAGTTGGAGAATTATTGGGGTTTTGACTGAGTTATGTTCACTGAGCTAGGAGGTTTCAAATGTGAAACTCATTATTTTCCAGAAGACATCATCAGAACAAACTTCAGATGGAAGTGAGGTACATAGATTTATCTACATATGACTAGCAGCTTGTTATGTTGACCTTGATAAAATGCTGCTGACCTCTATTTTATCATCGCTTGCATATTTATCTTGATTGTCTTTCACTGACCTGAATCTTGATTTTTTAATTGATTCCTCTAAATGATTATTAAATTGGATCGATTTTGATATGTTTATTGATTGTTGATTGAAATGAGTGCCAAGTTTCTAGAAATTATCTAGTTATCTTGGTAGTTCCTCTCTTCCAGATCTCATCATTTTCTCAGTTGAGCATGTCTTCACAATTGTCTACCACCAATGATATAAGCGAAATACATCGCTAGTTGGTGTTAACGCAGACGAAGCTGAAGAGCGCAGCCACTTCGTTCGATTTAATGTTTCTTGCAGTTAGAACAGTTTATTGTCTAAACAGTGTGTGCCATTCTTTCTTTTTTCACTTTATAATTTGGCTGGTATAAAACTGATTGGTTTATCAGCTATGCCTATTTCGAAGAGATGTAATAATCTGGATTTAATTTCCCGTAAGTTGTTTGTTGTCGGTTTGGACACTTAATTCTGTCCCTGTTGATGAGTTTGATAGACATTCTTTGGAGAAGTTGTGCGGATAGATAATATTTTAAAATGTCATTTGATATTTTTCTTCATTTTCTCATAGTGTAGACGTGCTGCAGAGGACCCTCAAAATTTAAACAAAGCTTTAACGTCATTGTAGTTAAATACCTGATCTGTGTGGAGTGGTTTTGAATAAACCCGAGTTAAATATCATCCCTCGTTCTCTATTATTCGAGATCATTTCCTCCTGTTGACCAGTATCTCTTGTGTCTCGATACACGTTGTAGCTAAAACCAAGTCTTCTCTTTTGCTTCTCATCTTATTTGTCTTCTTTTTCTATGTTGTCGTGTAAGTTATGGCGAATAGATCACACATATATTCCAGGTTTTGTATTGACGATGACTAAATGACTCGGTTTTGTGAAGAAAATTCAAAATACAAGGCTCTCTTGGTGCCATGTGAAACACTATGACAGTGATAAGTCTTGAAATTGACGATAATAGCTCCTGGATGTAAGTTGAATACTGAGATAAGACAATTCCTCTTTAATCCTAGCCCTGTCTACTCTAGAAAGCTTGTGTCATGAAGATACACAAGTGAAGACCAAAGAACATTGACTTAAGCATACAGCATATGCATATAAACTAATGTACAAAGACCTCAAAGATAGAGTAGTTATTTTTTATCGAAAGAGAAAGAAATGGTGTTTTGTATGAGGTATATAGAAGGGATTACCAATGCAGCGATCTTAGGAACTAGAATTCCGATTCCCTTACATAAAGATAACTTGTAAGTAGTTTTAGATTAACGTTCCCGACAAAGCGTTTTATATGGGCTATTCTTTGTCTAAATGTCAAATATTGCTTCAGCATTCATTTGTATCAATACCTAACCAAATCATGTAGACTGAAGTAGTTTGTGCTTTTGCATAATAGAAGAAACAGGGTTTCAAAGAGAATGATAGGACAGTATTATAACCTTTTTGGGCTTTTTATTCAAAGAGTAGATCTCTGTCCAAAAATACTTCTTTACAGAAAAGTTACGAATTTTTCTTCGAAGTGAAATTATTTATTTTGAAGTCTATTTCAGCAACCCAAGGACGTAATACTCCTTTCCACACGTAAAGCGGTAAGTTGAACAACAAGGATCGCAAATAAATATTTGTATTTTCTATATAAATTGAGATTGATTTAAAAACTTTTATAATGACAAAAATGAACATGACACTTACGTTTCTTTTTGACACTCGTTAGGAACGATCTTACAACGAAACTCCTATATTTAAGCAAATACAATAGAGTAAACTGAAATGCATAAGGTTGGTCATTTAAATTCGTTTTATAAAACTGCCCACACCCAGCAAAGCAGTATATAAAGCCAACGTACATTGATGATTATGAAACCGACTAATCGATTATTGTATATTTTGTTAGACACAATTTCGGTCGTTCAGAGACTATAATAACTTATTCAAATAAACGTAACGATTCGAATACATTTTGATACTTGTTTAAAATTTAGACAAAATACCCACGGAATCTTACCGGTAACAGTAATAAGACCAGTCAGGAAAAGCAGCATAACTATTGATGCCCAAGTATTCCATTTTAATGCTTCAGTTAAAAACAGTGAACCTGAATATAAATTGACCTAAAATCAACAGTTTACAATTATATACTTGCATGGATAATATCAACTATTGGTAACAAATTATTTCATACACATAGTTTCCTTTATCATTTTGAAAAGAGCAAGAACAAAGATTCTAGCAGAATAGCATGAATTCAGTTTATTTCGTAGGTTCTCGTCAGCCGCTTACAACCTGTGATATTTAAAAATCATAATTACATAATGGGTTTAAATTGCTTACATGGGAGGGTTTGTTTGGAAGTTATATTGAAGACATATTCGTAAAGTATATCATAGGTGTAAATGAAATTAACAGACTGAATACTGTAAATATATACCTAATGTGAACGAATATTCTACAGCATTAATTGTGATAACAGTTCAAAAGGGGTTAGAAACAGTTGGTTACACGATGAATAAACATTGATAGAAATATAGTGAGTAGAGTTCATTTGAAAGATCATTAATTTTAAAGATAGTTAAAAAATTAAAAAATAAAATCAATGACGTAATAAATACAAAAGAAGAAAATTTTAAGGTGCAGCGACAGAATATTTGTCACCAACCGTCTCCTTTTGAACACATAGGTCAGGTTTTTGACGTCTGATGGCAACGGCTTCAGCAAACTTCAGAAGACTGGAGTTTGGCTGCTTACTAATCACCCTAAAGGATTGTTAGGTATCTACCTGATGTCCTGTATCAAGGAGATGTTTGATGATTGCACTATTCAGTCTTTCCTTCACTTGTTCTAAGACTTTTTGGAACATGTTCAAAAAATCTAAGATATGCTCTCCTATCAGTTCGGCCGATGTAGCTGCTTTGGCAGGTACACGTAAATTTATAGATACAGTTGGCGATAAAACGACAAGAGCTCCTTTTCATGTTACTTCCAACTGTAACCCAAGGAAACAAAAGCGATTAGATTCGGGTGACTGTTATTTTTACAGGTTGTCCAAATATTATATAACGTGTTTCAAGGATTTATCGCCTTCACATTTTGAGCTAGTACATAAAAGTTGTAAAGAGTCTGAGCCAGGTTAAGAAATGGGGGTGGTTTAGCTTTATTTTCAAGGACGATGTCTTAGCACACTTTGATGGAATAGACTTTGATCATGTTTGTGGTGCAAAAACAATAATATTGTTCATCTAAAAAAGTTATCTGACCTCAAAGTCTAATTGGAAGGAATTGAAGTTCAGATTTTTAACAACACTAAATAAAAACTTATCTTCAAATAATATTTCTAACAAACTCCGCAAACTGTGTTTTTGACTGTTAAGAGAAATGAAACAGTCATTATGTAGTAAATTCGATCTTCAGTTATCGCTTTTGGTTTCAAGATGTACGCAATACCCTAAGCTTCTTAGTATTTGTATTTAAATATCTTTTCTTGACATGAATTGATTGATTTTCTGACAACATGATGATCTAGACTTTATTTTTTATGATACGTTCCAGCCCTTAGAATACATGGCATTGACTGGCTGCTGTATTTATGTTCACATAACTATTTACTTATAATAAGTATGAGTTACTGATTCAAAAGAATGAACTGGCTTGCGAATCCGGAAATTCATTCACTGGCGGGTAAAATTAGACCATACTATCGAAATCCGAACTTGGATAGACTATGATGCTAGTATTCCATCTTTAGCACATATGTGAACTCTAATAATACCTTGGTGCAAACAAGTGTCTGTATGCGTTCTACTAGATTTAGGAAAATCTCAGTAAAAATGCTCCCAAGAGATGACCTCAAGTATTGGTGTATCAGAAACAAGAAACTAGTTTGATACTAGCTTCGAAACTCACGCTGATGGGCTATGAAAACTATGACAGAAGCAGACTTAAAAATATAATTTAGAACTTCTTAACAGTGACTGAGAGCAACAGTGCGTAACAAAAACAAATGAGGTAGAGAAAGTATAAGGATCACAAGTGATTGATCACTGGGTGGCGATCAATGTCATGCATGTCTAGTCCTTATTAGTGCAGACCGAATGCTATCGATCATGTTGCATTCGATCTGCACTAATAAGGACTAGACACGCATAACATTGGTCGCCACCCAGTGGTCAATCAATAGTGATTACATCTCAGTCCTACAGGAGGTCAGTTGCGGCTCGGATATCTCAGTGGTAACGTCTCTGGCTGTGAAGCTGGATGACAAGCGATCAAATCCGCCAGAGAGCACCAGGTCCCTCAAGATTACAGGTACACCTTGCTGACGAGTGCCAAATAGCACGAAACCCGGTTCCAGGGTTTCCTGTCGACTACCTCCAACCACCATCTAATCTCAAAGTATTAGGAATGTTTAACGCCAGACAGCCGTTAAGACTGATTGAGTTCACAGCTAGTGAAGCAGTCGTAAGAAGGGATACAAGTTTTGCCTATTTTCGAGCTAACCAATGAGAATGATGGACGGGAAACTTTGGAAATAATTTTAACTGTCCACTAGTTATGCTTCAGTTACGCAATTCCCCCCTTGGTGTGACTGAAAAATCAACATAATCGTATAGTCAAAAACATTCGGATCGGTCATATTAATTCACGATTATCAGGGCATTTCAATTTTTAATTTTTATTGAGATCCATCACTGCTTACCTCTAGAAAACGGTACACTTTAAGCCTGACTAATGTAATACCAAAATTAAATGAATGGCAGCGTTTGATAACATAGCCAAAAATCTATCTCGACGGTAAAATCACATTAGTACTTTACCTTTAATTAAATTTCAGGTTAAATATCATCGCTCGTTCTCTATTATTCGAGATCATTTCCTCCTATTGACCAGTATCTCTTGTGTCTCGATACACGTTGTAGCTAAAATCAAGTCTTCTCTTTTGCTTCTCATCTTATTCATCTTATTTTTCTATGTTGTCGTGTAAGTTATGGCAAATAGAATACACATATATTCCAGATTTTGTATTGATGATGACTACATGACTAGGGTTAGTGAAGACAAGACAAAAGGTGGAATTTTTTCAATATTTTGATTAACAATGTAAGTGTTTGGGCCAAGTCACGTATCCTCTAAATGCCAAATAAATCTTCAGTGGCCATCTGCATCGATGCCTACTCTGGCTAGTGAGTGGAGTAGTTGGGTGTGTTGATCAAAAATGGAGAATATATCAGCGATAACACCTTTGTATAAATATATGTTAAATGAATATACAAATATCCGCATGAATACACTTCAAATGGCCAAAAATACACAGATGAATAGGTTAAAATCTGTCAACTTACAGAAATCTTTGTAAAAATATATAGTATGAGAGACAAAAGAGCGAGATACATATGTATTCTTTCTCCGCCATATCGTTTCTTCATGTACTCGGGCAACGTAAATACCTATAAGAAATTATATGATTCGACGGCAACGTACTCCACTTGCAATATACACAGGTAGGAATACCCACCCAAGAAGTTGAAGTAAAATTGATGCCTTAAAAGTAAAGTACAGCATGTCATTTTATCATAAGGTTATGACGAAAGATGAATAAATAATGAGATTTTTATAACCTATATGCTGAACAAATGATATGGCAATAAGATAATATCTTGCTGATAGTTTGTTTTTATGCAATAAGTGAGTTACTGAAAACTTTACTCACATTCAGTTCAAAAGCGCCAACTGCTATGCCAGCTGCCGCTCCTGATCCAGCTAAACCAATAAAATGTTCGCTTCCAATGTTACTAGCAAATAATGATGCACCGACCTTTGTTATTATTATTTAATCAACATAGAAGACTTACAGGAAGCCATGTCATAAACCGGCCAGCTAAAAAATAACCTGTAACAGTCCCTCTTCTAGATGCAAACAATGCCTGATAAAAACTATTATTTTACAAAACACAACAGAACTTACATATATTCCAGTACACAATAAAGCTACAAAATATATCACGAGGACTATAATGTCTAATACATTGAGGTTCATTATGTGCAGATTGTTTAACTAAAACTAAACAAATAAAGCTTAAGTCGAATGAACAGCACCAATCTCAAGTATTGAAGAACAACAAACTTACGAAATTCCGTGTAAATTTCAAGTGAGCTCTAGCTGGTATCTATTACCTTATACACAAACCAAACAATGTCTCATTTACTCCAACAGAATTCTTAACCGTCACACAGAAAAGCGTGAATGTATCAACTAAATTTGAGTGATTAAAACACTCTCCCACCTGAACGATCCGACAGATTTCGGTGAGTTAGTGCAAGACGACAATATTTTTAGGTTCAATTTTTGTTGTTTTGGTATGGTTACAGGTCTCTTTCAACGTCCGATGTGCGGTAGTCAAGCCACTCCATTGTACCAGTTGTAGTTAGTTTGGTAGTTATTTGTGAGTTTTGATACCTTCGGATCAAATTAAATTCACCTCTGTGATGACATTCGTGTTTCTAGATTAATTACTATTACATTACCAGCCTGTAGGTTAGTCGGTTACGACCTGCTAAAATAATAGACAACTAATTTGGATGAACAAGAAGTAATAGTAAATCCCGAAAAATTGCTTTCCAAGTCTTCAGGATTGATGCTGATCTCACTAGCTTTACTGGACACACACTTCACACCAGATGACATTTGGAAACGCCATGCTTCACGACTATCATGGCAAATAGTCAGCTTGGATTGCATACACTCCAACAAATCAACCATCGTTCAGAAAAAATACTTCCTTACCCGTTCCATGCCGACTTTCTACTTGGACGGCCTCAGACTCCCCGCGTAAGAAGAGGTTTGGGATAGTGGTACTGACGAATACTTGATATCAGTAAAATCTTCACAATTAATCAATTTACAAATAATGCAAGCAGTGTGAGGAAACCGAAATGCACTAATAACAGGTAAACGGAGGTGATAAGAGGCGGAAGAAAAATCAGCTGGTGATGTGCTAATGATAGTGGTGGATAAGTTACGAGACGTGCATTATGCGAAGCTAATGCACATGAAACATAGTGATCTCCGTGTTCGCCAAGTTTCCTCTTGGAGCTCTCTAGTAAGGTAACCATGGTCAGCTCTGCTGTAGGAGCATTCGAAATGGAGAACAGGTGTAGGCTCACTTTAACTCTCACTACGTCATGTTCCTTTTTGTAGGAGTCGCTCGTGGAGCTTTGTGTTGGAGTGGTTTGGGGTGCACTTGGTGTTTTAAGTCATTTCAGATCACATCTTAATATCCTACAGCCCAGACAGAAGAATCCTAAACATCAGGGTCTATCTCCGAAAAATTTGTTTTTCAGTTTGTTTCCGTACTTCATCTATGAGATTTACATCTCTTAAGATGAGTGGGGATAAGAACCTTGTAAACTTCGGGGTGAGCTTCATACATCTATTTCGGTTTCATTCTCAGTGTAACTTTAGCTGGTTTCCAAGCTCTTCGTGGACGATGAACCTGGATTGCGCTGTATAGAAACGCCTTTAAAGAAATCATGACTTGTTTGTCTTTTGAGGATGGAAGTTTGCATTTTGAGACACCAAATGTTTTTTTTAATGTTCATGGCCCATACTACTACGAAGTCTTTTAGGAGCTTCAGTAAATCCTGCTCGTCACAAAACTTCATATCTCAGCGCTGGTCCGCAAACATTATAAAGATGACACAAGTATTCGGACTTTGACAACGCCTTATCCAGTAACAACTTTAATAATCAAAACATGCCAACTCAGTGCAATCAGACGTCAGAAGCGAAGAGATTTGAAGACATATTCTATAGAACTTCGGTATGTCGAGAAGTGACTAATGTAAGCCGGCTAGCAATTGTAGGAGAAGTAAAGCATGTCATACCCACTCGTGATCTGGTGTGGATGCTTGACCAAACGCCTTCAGTTAGGTGAGTCCAGTAAAACAAATGCGGTCAGCGTCAGATGTTGAGGACTTACAGAGGTATTGATTTCGGGGATTTATTTATCACTACAAACCACTAACCCCGTTAGGGGGTAGTCAGAAGTTAAAACTCAACGAGTTTGTCATTGGTAAACAATCTTCTGATAGCTTGAAATGTCCAGCAATGTATGGTCGTCTTTTCTTAACATAAGGAGTCATGTAATACAAAATAGTAATGAAAAATAGATACAATCATTATTTAAACTCATCGTAAACTTCATCGCTCTCTTCATCTATTCCAGCCGTCCGAGAAAAAGATGAAAGAAATGCGACTGTATGTCAAATTACACTTGTGAGTACTCAAAGACATAAAACGGGAGAAAAAGGAAGATAACCTTTTATACATGCGTTTCGTAAACGTGCGATAACGTTAAAATGGTTTTCGTAGGATGGTTTTTGTTTCTTTTCGAAAATAGAAAAGCATACACATACTATCAACAAAACATTATATCCTTTGGAATGAAGAATAAATATGTATCAGCATATTAAAAATATTTCGTTTTGGTTTTGGTTTTTGACACAATAATACAAAAAAGTTGGGACGCAACGAGATGTATGTAGCTTATGTATTCTAGAAACCTCACTCTTCTTCCGGGACGCATTATTTTGAGTCGATTGTCCGATACCACCGATCTATCCTCGTGATTTTTGATTATTGGGTATGGTATCGTAATTGCGAAACTCGTGTCTTTCGATTGTACCGAAGAAAAACCAGCACGAATAGGGTTTCCTTCTAAACATACGGCTTTGAGGTGATCGATACTGATGCTGTCGTTATTTCCGTTCTTATCGATTATATAGTACTTAGGTTCACGCTGAAGGACTTCTAAGGGTCTTTTTTATGTCGTTCCGAGAGTTTGTCGAAGGGAGTCGCGACGCATATGATATATTATAGGGCAGGTTAAACAAAGCATCAGTTGACTGCGGTCGAGTGGAAAAGGCTTTAACTGAGCGCATGGCATTTGTAGACCTGCTAATGTAGGAGTTTAGATTCATATTCATCGAAGATGAAAGATCCACGAATTCTCTTTGGAAGTAGGAGTCTCTCTCCATAAACGAGTTGAGCTGCAGTGTATCTAACATCAACTTTAACGGAATCGCGGATACCTAGTAAGACGAGTTGATGAGCATCGGTTCACTATGAAACGTGTGTTGCTGAAAGTCAAGCATTTCGTTATCAGCGAAAGCGTTTTATCTTTCCGTTTGTTTGTGATTGGTGGGCGGTCGTTCGAAATCGTGTGATTCCTGATAGTGTGGTCGGACTACGGAAAAGTCCCGATACTAACTTGCGTCCATGGTCTGTTGTGATGGTTGAAGGACAGCTGAAATTTGCTTTCCATCGACAGATAAAGGCGTGATCCACTGTTTCAGCAGCAACAGGCTGGATAGCTACTGCTTCTGGCCGTGGAGTGAAGCGGTCTACTCAAGATAAGAGATAAGAGTATTCGTTTGAATCTGGTAGGGGTTCTACCGAATCTAGATGACCATGGTCGAAGTGAGCGTCGGGAGTTTTGAATGAGCCTAAGGGACATTTGTTGTGTTTAATCGCCTAATATTTCTTAAAGCCTACACAGGTATGTGCTCAATCTCTCACATCTTTATTCGTACTAAACCAGAGAAATCATTTTGCTGTGAGCTTGGTGGTTGCACAAACACCTGGATGAGGAGGTTTGTGCAACGTATTGAAGACGTTGCAAGGATAATTTTTCAGAACGATTAGACGAACTCTACCTGTCGATGTGTCGCATAATAGGGTTTCCTTATTTGTTGCTATCTGTTTAATACGTAGTTTCAGGGTTGTCGAAGATAACTCATGATGAAGTTCGGCGTCTTCTTAAAACTGAGCGAATTTATGAAGTAAGATTCCTTGGCAAATGTTCAAGTAAGTGTATGCAATACCTTACCTCGATTCATTGTCTTGCAACCGTCTCTGGAAGAATGCCGAAGGTTGCCACGTGTAGTTAACCTATTGTTGTAAGACTCCTACGATAGCCCAGTCGGATGTATCTACTGCGATACTAATGGGTTCTTCAGTTTTCTGATGTGCAAGCAACGTTGCATTGGCCACAAGTTCCCTAACTTTTGTGGTCGGTAATCTAGAATGTGTGTCACTTTGCTTTTATAGGCTATATTCCTTGCGCATGAATAGCAAGTTCGAAAAAATCTAGAGGGTCGGCGCCGAATAGGCAGTTCTAAATGCTTAGAGTAATGCCGTGTTTTCGCGGTCTTTTGTGGACAAGGTCCAGATGCTAGAGATTAGATTCTTCGTCCGAACTTGCAACCAAGCAGTCAACAACATGTGCGAAGTTGAGACCTTAAAAAATGCCATCGGTCAATCTGTGGAATGTTTGCGCAGCATTTCTTAAGCCGAAAAGCCTTGTGGAAAGTTCGTAGAGACAAAAAGGTGTGATGACGACGGTTTTGGGGATATCGTCAGCAGATCTTGGAATTTGTTTACGTGCTTTAATCGAGTTGATTTCCAAAACATACTGTTGTGCTTCTCAAGGTAGCCGTCAAGTCGTGAATATGAGGCGATGTGTAACGATCAGAAGTGGTTTCCACACCCAGTCTCCGATAGTTACCAGATGAACGCCACTCACTGCTGTCTTTTTTAGGGACCATGTGCAAAAGAAACCCCAATGGGCTGTTTGATGGCCTACTGATTTCTAAGTCTACCATGTGGTCGAATTCTGTGTTAGCCAACCTCAGCTTTTCGGGAGCTAGTCGGCGAGCCTTCGAAGACACTGCTGGTGCTGTAGTCATGATGTGGTGTGTAACATTGCTGGTTATACGCGGTGATTTTGGCGGCATTCGGTATTCCTCGGGCTACTTATTGAGTTTTTGTTGATAGCATGAATCGGTCGTGTGCCTTACGGCGACTGAAGACAACCTACAACCAGAGAAAGGAATTACACAGACGGACAAATATGTATTTCTATCTTCTAACCTCTGTTCAATGTTGTCGATGAGGTGATTATGATATTGTAGCATGTCTGAACCAATGATTGCCACGGAAAAATCTGCAAAACCTAAGATCTAGTGAATAGGTTTGCGTAAACCCACGTTAAGTTAAACATACCTCTTACGATACGTGGCAATCGGTCACCCATTTGCCGCCTGTAATTTGAAACTGCTTTGCGCGGTCGATCGCTATGATTTGCTGGAAGAATGCTAACTCCTGTGCCAGTGTCGACGAAGCAACGAACTTCCATAATCACATCAGTGATGCATAACAGACGGTTATGTTCACCGGCTACGGTTAACGCGTGCCGACTGTGAAGTTCTCCGAAGTGTTTTCCGTGTCAGTCGGTTTGGAGATCGGAAAATTACAGGGTTTTCTACAATATCGAGACTTTGCGTACTGATTATGATACTAGCATCAATCAGGTTTATCTGTCTCTCGTGATCTAGAGACAGGTTTTTTTCGTGAAATACTACTTAGAGGAGTTTGAGATCATCTACGGTCACGACGATTACTAAGGTAACAGGTCAGAGCACGAACAAGCTCTGTAACGTCGTTTCGTGTGGCTTGATGTTTTACTTGGAATGAAAAAATCTCTTTCTTCGTAGTTCCGGTGATCTTGGTCAGTGGATGCAACCAGCTCATCTACAGCGTTCTTGTAAAAGGAGACAATCACTGCGTGAACCTGTTGTGGAAGCTTAGAGAAAAAAGTTATCCAAACAGACCATCATCAAGGTTCCTTTGCCCAGTGACCTCTTACATTCGTAACATGTCTGTTCCTGAGACATGGTGAAGATCGATATTGTTGAAAGGTTGACCTAGCCGTTGTCGATCAGTTAGATTCTTACACTTGGGAATAGCCTTTTTACCATGTTTGCGAGGTTCCGAGACATCACTATTAGACATACGAGGTGTGATGTACCTGTTGAAATTGTTCTGTAATGCCCTCAATACTGTGAAGAACTGTGTATGCGGGTCTGAATGACTTGCTCCATATAGGCTTCTAGTTGCTACAAAAAAATATTCATTGTAGTTTTCCCCGTCTTTTTTGATAGAGTTTTGTTCTCTGGGCTGGATAGTTTAGTCGTGTTTAGGTCATTAAGACTGACTCTGAGCCGATTTCCTTTTCAGGTATTTCTGGGAGAACTATCGTCGTAGGCGACCGGAAAGTGATAACTACCCTCATGCCTCTAACAGCACTCATGAAGTCGTTGTAAAGGATTTCTTTGCTGAATAGATTTTCTTGGATTTAATCGGTATATTCAAAATATCTATACAACTATCAAAAATTTAAAGATAGGTTTAGTGCTAGACGTAGCAGGGACTCTAAACAATCATCACTAATGGTTTTATAATATAATAAAAAGGATTCTGGAAAGAACTTCGATGAGCTCTTTTTACAATATGTACCAGAAGTCAAACGTCCATAAAACCAACTTTGTAGTGGATCTTTGGAGGTGGATCAAACAAAACTCTCATAGTTATGTATACAGTTAATCTTATTGTCTCTACTGATTAATGATTGGCTTATTAAACTTGATAACGATTGGTCAGAAAAACAAACATATTCCGAGTTGGGTAGTTGTGATTTTGTTAGTGTTGTATATACGTTTACATTATTATAGTAAGTCTGAACACTTTTTTATGAATGATTTAGTTTAATTTAAACATAAATTCAATTAACTAATTAGTTGACTATGCAAAATTGACTATTTAGAATTAATTTAGTAGTTGAGTCCATGAGTCAATTAAAGCTGGATCATCATGGAAAACGTGGAAGCACTGGACAGCCGTTTCGCCCCAGTATGGGGCTCTTCAGTGGTGCGTGTCCACGATCCCACACACGGGATTCAAACCCAAGAGCCTTCGGCCTCATGTGCGAGTGCTTAAACCCTAGACCACTGAGATGGCCGCCATCCAACGGTGTTAATGTCTAGCTTCAACCAATTCGCGAATTAGTTTTTAGTACTGGTAGATCTTTATCGATCAAACACTATAATACATCCACCTAGCTAAGTGATAGGAACTAGAATGCATGATATTTATTGTTTAACGGAGGAAGCCCTTTGAACATAAGTCGAAAGAAAAGTCCTAGTTTATTATTGGTTCAATAAGGTTGAAAAGTTCAGTCATTAAAGTTAAATTTAATGATTAATTTATTGATATACTGTCATCTGAAATGATTTACATTGTATTTTCCCTCTAAATGATGTCAAAGTATCATTAAATAAGCATTTGATGTAAAAAACGAGAATACAATTATGGACAATCAAATGTATTTGAATACAAAATTACAGAATCACTTAGTGAAATTTAGGAACCATACATTAAATACTTCATTTGCAAAATATCCATCAATCGTCCCGGAATTTGTTGTTCATTCGTTTCCATACCAACCATTCTCTGTTCTCGTTCTCTTTTCTTTGATCTTCTTAACCTTCTGCTATCAGGTATTTCATTTTCGATTGATGATACATACTACTACATATATCTATTGACATCAGTAGCATACATCACACTAATATCTTCAATTTGTTGACAATTTTTAAGATGGTACATCGATTTATGATGCGGGGCATTTTCATGGTAACAAAATACTATATATATTTATCAGCCAGTAGTTTAGTTTAATATTCTTTTTTTTAAATGGACTGAATTCTACTCATGGTGACAACAAACTTTTATAAAAAATTTAATTATCAGTATAAGGGTGAAGAGATTATTAAATTTTTGATTGAAATCATGAACCGATTGATGTTAGACCACCACTGAAAACCTGGAAGCACTGGACGGCCTTTTTGTCCTATTGTGGGACTTCAGCAGTGTGTATCCACGATTCCACTCACGGAATTCGAACCCATGGCCTTCAGTCTCGCGCGCTAACGCTTAACTTCTACACCACTGAGATAGCCGGTATCCAACGGTGTTAATGTCTAACCTCAACCAATCCACGAAATCTCGCGACCGTCTTCCATTATAGTGAGGTAGATACCTGTCTCTACACGACACGGAATTGGTCAACAGGTAAGGATGGGTACAACAATTCATGATCTTCAAGTCAAGTTAATGCACATGATAACACTACTATCATATATTGTTATTAGACAGATAAATATCCTCCATCTTTATATTAATTTGCAAATGGAAACATCAACAAACCCTTCCTGAAACAAGTAAATAATACATCGATGAATTTAATTTATCTGTCAGATAAGCGAAGAATAAAACAATTTTATTTAATCCATCCTATTTTAAACTGACCAATATAGTAAATAGTTTATAATGAGAAAAGGTTATCTGTAAAGTCGACCAAATTGAAGTTGAGGATAGGTATCTAATGAATACAATTAACTATGGTTTATTATGTCACGAATTCATTAAATTCAGTTTCATAGATATTTATTGACTGGAATGACTTTACGCTACTCGTGAGGCGTTGATGCATTAAATGATATCTATTGTGGTGTTAGGCATAAATGCTGTTCAAATGTTTTAAGCAAGAATATAGAAACTATTCACTTAGTTCAGACATAGAATGACTATCCAGTTGATCTGAAATTATAGGAAACATTGTCGTTCAATAAAATAATTTTGTCGAAGAGAGTAAGAACAATGAATTGAACAGAATAACATGAGTTTATTATATCTCGCTAGGTTCTTATCAACTGATTATAACCTAAAATAAATTAAAATCAATATTATGGTAAAGGTTTTACGTACTTATAACAGCAAACATGGATATGTATCATCATAATGAAGTACTGAGATCAAAGACATCTAAAGAGTAGTGCAAATTAATGTAATAAACGCGTGAAGATTCTGGATGGTCCAACGAAGTAACAAGGAGTCATAGAGCTAGAGTAATTCATTGATAATGTGATGAAGTAGTTGAAAATAACTCCACCTGTAAATCTTCTAGGATTAATGTCGGTTCCAAGCCCGGGTGAATGAGCACGGTTGAGTGTGGGGTTGGCAACTCCACCTCGTAGAAAACAACCCTGCCAAAAGAACGTTAACCGGATTAAACGAATTCAATCATTTAAACTCTATCCTGTGAGTTGAAGGAATAATTATAACGCTTCATGATGAAAGCCGATGGTCATGGAGCTAGAGTAATTAATTGATAATGTGAAGTGGTAGTTGAACATAAATTAATAATAATTGAGAGTAGCATAATTCGAGAAATACAACACAGCATGCACCAATCAAATCACATTTGACGGAGAAGCTTTGGAGGATGTAAAAACCTTTACATATCTGGGCAGCATCATTGACGGACACTGTGGATCAGAAGCGGATGTGAAGGCGCGGATTAGCAAAGGAAGAGCAGTATATCTACAACTGAAGAACGTCTGGAACTCAAAAGAACTGTAAACTAACACCAAAGTCGGAATTTTCAACACAAATGTCAAGACAGTTCTACTGTATGGAGCAGAAACTTGAAGAAATACGGAAGACATCATCCAGAAGATACAAGTGTTTATTAATAGCTGTCTACGCAAAACACTTCGGATCCGTTGACCAGACATTATCAACAACAACCTAATGTAGGGAGAACAAACCAGATCACAGCGGAGGAAGAAATCAGGAAGAAGCTCTGGAAGTGGATGGGATACACATTGAGGAAAGCACCGAAGTGCGTTACAAGGTGAGACCTCACTTGAAACCCTCAAGACCGAAGAACACATTACGCCTAGAAATGGAGACAAAAGTTGTATAGAGCTAAAAAGAAAGGTTCAGGACAGAGTGGGTTTGAGAATGCTGGTCGGCCTATACTTCATTGAGAGCAACAGACGCAAGTAAGTTGAGAACAGTCTGTTAAGAATAAACTTTTGAGTTTGAAATAAGCAATGAAATCAATGGGAGGAAAAACAACTGCTAGAGTGATGTAATAAATCGATGTTAAAATCATCATGGCAAAGAAAGATTCGCAACTGTTTCCTTTTGGGCACCTAAGTCCTTTTTAAGACGTTTGATGATCATAGATTGAACGAATTTGAGGAAGGAATTTGACTGTCGACTAATGACCCCAAAAGATTTGAGTCTATCAACTGTCCTCTGAGTCTTCCACATTGTCCAGACATTCCATATATCAGTGTGTTAGGTTTGAAACTTCACGAGTTCACTTAAACTGCGAACGAGAACAATACTCAGTGACCAAAGACCAGTGATCTAACTATTGACGTGTCCCAGCCCCGCTATCTAGAAGAAGAAGTCCAGGCTTGGTATGGAAAATATATTCTGCAACAGCCAGAAGCGAGCGAGCAAGCAAGCACTCAAACACAATTTAAACATAAATATATAATCGATATTGTCATAGAAAATTTTTAAACACTAATCAATGAGTTCATAAATTGACCTATTTGCCCATTGAATTGATAGTTCATCTATTGACTGCTATTCAAACATTTAATCGATCAGTTCATCAATTGACCCCAATACAAATATTTAAACATTTAATCAATAAGTTGATCGATGCGATAAAATTTAAAAATATGAGTTTGGGGATCTATCGTCCCCAACACAATGTTAATCGTTGCTTTGGTAGTTAGAAGAAGCATCAGCCTCGTAGCTTTCAGCATGAAGCGTTATAATTATTCCTTCAACTCACAGGACAGAGTTTAAATGATTGAATTCGTTTAATCCGGTTAACGTTCTTTTGGCAGGGTTGTTTTCTACGAGGTGGAGTTGCCAACCCCACACTCAACCGTGCTCATTCACCCGGGCTTGGAACCGACATTAATCCTAGAAGATTTACAGGTGGAGTTATTTTCAACTACTTCATCACATTATCAATGAATTACTCTAGCTCTATGACTCCTTGTTACTTCGTTGGACCATCCAGAATCTTCACGCGTTTATTACATTAATTTGCACTACTCTTTAGATGTCTTTGATCTCAGTACTTCATTATGATGATACATATCCATGTTTGCTGTTATAAGTACGTAAAACCTTTACCATAATATTGATTTTAATTTATTTTAGGTTATAATCAGTTGATAAGAACCTAGCGAGATATAATAAACTCATGTTATTCTGTACGATTCATTGTTCTTACTCATTTTCAAGATGATAAAGAGAACTAAGTATATGATGTTACTCAATGAATGGTTTCTATAAATTTCAACATTTAGTGACTTTTTCGGATTTCAGAACTTGTATTTCATGAAGACGTGGAATAATCTACTTCCACTCAGTAAACGTGAAGAGTTATTGAAAACTACCGAAATTCCATTAGAAGAACAGAAAGTGATTCGACCGCATCAATTATATCCTTTAGCTACATCAATGAACAGAAACTCATGCCATGTTATTTATAATGACGGTGTACATAGTGATTGTTGTGTATGGTCACCTGATCCGTTAATCAATGGTCCAGCAAGATGTGGCTGTTTTATGGCTACTATTCTAGCTATATTCAGTATCATATTATTACTTATTGGGATAATTTTAACCATACTGCATTACGTAATCGGTATGGAATTTTATACAATTAACCGTGGTCAAACTATTGGTCCATTACTATTAGGCCTCACAATTATACCACTTATATTCATGATCTACTTCATATGTATAGCTAGGCATAAAATAACTGATTATGTTGAACAGTTATCATTGAATTACCTTGCCAAAGAACGAATAGCTTATAGACAACATCAGGTAATTCTGTTAATTTTGTTTTGAACTGTTGTCTTTTAAATCATCAGAGCAAGATTGTTTCGTTCAATTACTAATAAAAAGTAATAATAAATTTTAATAGTTGAGATCATAAGTCACTGAAGCTAGACGACCATGGAAAACCTGGAAGCACTAGACGACCGTTTCATCATATTGTGGGACTAGTCAGGAGTGCACATTCACGATCTCACCTCGCGAGATTCGAACTCAGAACCTATCAGTCTAGCTCGCGAACGATCAACCTCTAGACCAGTGAGATGGTCGGCATCCAACCGTGTTAATGTCTAACTTCAACTAATCCATGAAATTGAACGAAACATCCACCATTGCCATCAGTGAGTTACTATCTCACAACAGACCCGATTGAACCCCACTGGTCACTGCTTCTCAATAGAACTCCAGGAAATACCTCTTGAAGCCAATCACTAATGAGCATATGTTGATTAACTGAAACGAATAAGATTTCAATCACACATTTTAACACTATAATACATTTTAACAACAGGGAATATATTACTGTTCACACTCACATGATAAGAGAAAGGTATGTAATAGTAATAATAATAATAATAATAAAAAGAAATGTTAACTTACTAGGGCTAAATAATAAGATGGTCAGCAACTGGATTCTAGCTCATTTACCTGCAAGCGAGTCGTACAGTCAGTGTAAATCAATTATTTGTTATAATCTCTAGTCTAAGTAATTGTTTGTTGAAAATTATCGAACTTTGAATCTTCTAAGTAATAGCTATCTGAATCTTTATGGATGAACCAATCATTTATAAGATAACAGGTCTCGGATTTTGGCCCGAAATCCACTCATCTTGTTGGTTAAATAGAGTTTTGTCATTATAGCTGATGTCAGTTCGTGATGAAAACCCTAAATCTAATTCCTAACCTTAACCATCAACTGTAAATCATAATTCAAAGTCCTCACACAGGTTTATAGCCTTCATTTGGTCCTCGTTATTAGGTGAACACTCTCAAGGTCAGTCTAAAGTCGCTTAAAGGTCATCCATAAATTACACTCTCACCAAAAAGCAAACACAACTTCTGGTACATAAGCAATACGTTCAATTATCCATAACACCTTAAACAACTTAAGAGTCAATCTTATCAACGTTTATCCTAATTGTGGGATTATGTAATTTCAGAAGTGTATAGGAAACCTTTCCTCTTATATACATTTTTGTGATATCCCAATGATTAGAAATATATAATTCGGACGTTTCAAGACTTAATGTAATTGAAATTCAATAACTTGAATCTATCTTAGATATTCATAGATGGACAGTGTACCTGCATCTTAGAGTTCATGTCAACTCCGGGACTCGAACTCAATGCCGTTCGCTTAAAACGCCATCACGTTATCCATTTAGCTACTGAGTTCTGAAAGACACCTGCTTGTGCAATGGGTTGAAGTTTTAGATTCACTTGGTGTTGCTTATTTGTATATTCCCTCTGTTATTTAGTACTGCGATTGACCATCAACTCTGAGATGCAGGTATATTAGCTGACGAGTCCCAAACAGAACAAAACACTCATCAAACGGGATTCCACTACTAGTCACTATCTTCTTTGCTTATGATGTTTGTGAACTAAGGCAATATGCACATATGCCAACACGAGACTGGTCAATTGCAGTCCTAAACATGAATGGGAATATTCAAGTAAACAATAGGAAGATTCAAACAAACAATACCAAGTGAATTTATCTTAGATATTATTATTTACTATTATTATCATTATTCATACGAATATTCGTCAATATTAGAACGAATAGTTTGACAAAAATTGGTCCCTGAGTATATATAAGTCATTATATTTGAAGTAATCTCAGTGATTGAAATTTAAAATAATTCCAACATTTCGTCCATCAAACTTTTCTGGACTTCTTCAAGACAATAATCGAAGTCAAGATCATCAAAGAAATACATAGCGTTCAACAATCAAATCTATGCTGCGCTAATCCAACCATATTTGGATGTTGGTTACATGCGAAAAGTTCACAATGACTAAATGATTTATGTGTGTGTGTGTAAGATTGAGTTATTAATAGTTGATAATCGGTGTTGCATTTTTTGTTATATGACGAAAGAATAAAAGTACAAGTTGAAGGTTGAAAAATTGTTTTTGAATCAATGATGTGCATGTAAAATGAGAATCATCAAATACATAATTGTGTATTGCTATAATAACGATGTATGTGATATGAACAGATTGGATAGAGAAGGGATCCAGTTACTTATTAACAAATATTTGCTACTTACATACTATCCTTATGGCCCAGGCTGTTCTTGTGAGTCTGCTATCAGTCTTCCCTTATGAGTGTTAAAACCTTTCTGAAGTATTTTGGTCCTTTCGAAATTGATCTTGTGTTCTGTTTCCAATGCATGTAACGCTATCGCCGACTTATTCTCAGGTTTCTTTAAGTCAACCGAAGATTTGGAAATATTTTTCAAACACTGTTTGTATTCCTTCAACCTTGCATTCAATTGTCCTGATGTTTCTCCCACGTAAGCTGCATTACAATCGATGACAGTTGATCTCATAGACAACATTGTATTGTTCTTCCTTTGGGAACCTTTCCTAATGCCAATCTTATGGTGTCACATTCCTGAAACTACACCCTTATAACATGTTTGTTTAGAATCCTCTTGATTTCATCCGATGTTTCATTACAGTATGGGATGACTACGGTGGACTTCCAATCTTTCGGTATACATTCTAGTTTTTCATTTCTAATAATCTTCTTTAAAAACTTTTTGGAGTAATTGTTATCCATAAGCATAGACAAAACTCTATTCAATTCAACCTATTGGTCTTCTTTATCTGTAACGAGATTAATACTTCTGTTAATTAAATTTATTACAACTGTGAGTTCCGTACAAAACGCATGAGCTGAACCATATTCTAAGTATCTCTCAGAATGTGTTGATTATCTGAATAAGTTTACTTTCAACTTATTATCATTATGTCTTCGTTCAAACAAACGATAGAGAAACGCTAGTTCATGATCACTGGACTCTAATTCCTTTGTTAGCTTAATGTTCTCCGAAATTCTGTTCATATGTTTAAATAATTCTTCCGAATCATTCAGTTTAATGATAATTTTGATTATTATCCTGAAGAAGTTCAGATAACTTTGCTGGACGAAACACTCGGTAAGTTTGTGCGAACTTCATAAGTTTATATTGTCGTAATTCGTTTACTTTAACCTAGTCTACATTCTTTATAACACTAATTTATATTCAGCAAACATGGATAGAGGCTAGCGTGGAACCCAATTTGACGCGCGTTTCGCCCTATTTGAGACTCATCAGTTGGATGTACCTGCATCCCAAAGTTGATGTTCACTTCAAACGCCATCGCGTTATCCACTTAGCTACTAAATGCTGATAGCCACCTGCTTGTTCAATGGGGTGAAGTTTAAATTCACTTGATGTTGTTTTACTCGTATCTTCCCAATGTTGTTTAGGACTGCAGTTGATCAGTATTATGTTGACATAAGTACATCCTGTGCGAATTGTGAGACTATAATTTATGGTCGAGCTTTGATCGACGCCAGAGTAACTTTGAGAATGTCTATCTATTACTGGAGCTCAATAAGGGTCATAAAGCAAGGTGAGAAATAAGGATTATGATTTACAACTGATGGTTACGGTTAGTCATTAGATTTATAATTTTCATCACGAACTGATATCAGCTAAAATGCCAAAACGTTATTTAAACGAATGGATGAATAAATTTCACGTCAAAATCCAAGACTTGTTATCCTTAAATCTCGCTGTATAGAACTATTTGGGTCATATTATTTTTGTACTATTTACAGGATGATATTGACTTAGCTATAAGGAGCTTTAATTAATATGACCCATATATACATATATATTTTAATGCTTGAACTTATGAGTTAATTGAGGCTAGACTATCATGGAAAACTTGGATGCATTGAACGGCCGTTTCGTCCTATTATGAGACTTCTCAGCAGTGTGCATATATATACATGTTTATCAATACAGAAGTATTTATAGTATCTATGGTTGTATTATGTCGTAACCTCTCTCTCAAACTGTTCTTTACATTATTCCAGGCAGAACTAGCACGAAGTTCAATTGGATTACAAAACTCATCTAGATACAGTTAATAAACCAAGAGAGAAATCCACTGGATAAACTAATCTCATTCAACATTTGATCTTTTTGTGAAGTTCATTTAAACATTTTGTAACCTACAATCATTAATACATTCAATGTAAAACATTATCAAGGTGAACCTTATTTATCAAAACATTACAGATGTAAGAATTTACAAAAAAGGTGTATTCATTCTTTATATCTATTTTTTCTTATATTACTGTAACCGTGGTGATTCAGTTTCTTGTACATACATCATTATGCTTACATGTTATTTCTGTTATTAACTTTGATAAAATCTAGAAATTATATGCAAAGATGGATAGTGGCTAGTAGTGGAATCCAGTCCGACGAACGTTTTGTCCTATTTGAGACTCGTCAGCCGTATGTACCTGCATCTCAGAGTTGATGTTCACTCCGGGACTCGATCTCAGTACCGTTCACTTCAAACACTATCGCGTTATCCACTTAGCCACTGAGTTCTGATATCCACTTGCGAATGGTACAGCGTTCGATCCCCAGAGTGAACATCAACTCTGAGATGCAGGTATATCCGGGTGACGAGTATCAAATAATACGAAACAAGCGTCAAACTGGATTTCACTGCTAACCACTATCTATGTTTGTTTAAAAAACTTGCGGCGTAAGGCTATATCGGGGTAATCCACACAGTATGCACATATACCAACAAGCGACTGATCAATTGCAATCCTAAATAACTATGGGAAGATACAAGTGAAATTAAATCTAGAAATTCTTTTACATTTTGATTGACGTAATTCATTAAATCACGGCTTCAGTAGGTTTTTTATCGCGAAACTATAATTTATGTACGAACCAATCAGATTCGGGGATAAAAGGTTTCGGATTTTGGCGCGAAATTTATTCATTTGGCTAAATAGAAATTTGGCATTATAGCTGATGTCAGTTCGTGATGAAAATCGGAAATCTAGTTCCTAATCCTTAACCATCAACTGTAAACCATAATTATGATTCCTCACACTGAATCATAACACTCATTTAGTCTCAGTTATTAGGTGGACACTTTCAAGGTCACTTTAACGTCGCTCAAAGGTTGTTCATAAATTAGTGTCTCACCCAATACTTACATACTTCAGTGATTCCAGTGTATCCACTGCTATTTCACTTAAACACATTTTGAACAAGTAGTGTACTGCATATTCTCTTCATTCTTAATACTGTAAATTATTATCATTATTTATTATTATTTTAACACATAGATATTGGTACAAGGAGGCACCAAATACATGTGCGCCACACAAATCTCATTCGATATGTGTGAGGGCTGCGATACTGCCCAGGTGCTCAAACCGAAGTAGGTGGTTTTCTTAGAGGGCCACTACCCGAGCCTTCGACCTGAAGGTCTAATCCACAAGCCAGTGGAGCATAGTAAGGAGATGCAGTCTCATGGAAGCCGGTGACCAACGATTGGTTAATACGACATTTGTTCCTTCAGGATACTGGGGCCCATGTGCACCATTGGTTTGGAATCCGGTTAAAGCGCCAGACATTCGCTTTTCGTCCTCTCATTTTCGTAAACAACATCCCCGCCACGAGAAGGTAGTGAGTAGGACTTCCCTGGCAGAGGCTATATACGCGTGGCCATGTGAGAGCATTTCGAGAGGGAGAGCGGACTTTCCCCACTCTCGACCGTACCAGGGCATTTGAGGGCTAATACTGTAAAGATTGTCTCTAAGTAAAAATCTTACGTTTTGCGTGGACAAAAACAGTTAGAGTAAAAGATCAACTATGCATATACAGTATCTGCTTTTAGGAAGTATATATATAGTATTTACAAGGCTAGTTGTTTCACAAGGAATTGTTTTCATCTTCGTAAAATGTTGTACAGGCACTATTTACATATGATGTTCCCTCAAATGCCCAGGTACGGTCAAGAGTGGGGAGAGCCAGCTCCTTCTCTCCAAATGCTCTCAAGTGGTCACGTGCATACAAATACTGCCTTCTCGTGGTGTTGGTGTTATTTACGAAATTGAGAGTACGAAAAGCGAATGTCTCGCGCATTAACTAGGTTGGCGGATATGGAGGATCCACCTACAGGAGTTAGAAAACCCTCATTCCAAACAAATCGTGCACATGGTGTTGGGATATTCAGGAAAATATCCCAAAAATTATTCTGTTAAGTCTAACGCTATTCTTGGACTTGAGACGGTATCATTTTCCTATTGGTAAATATTTATTTCACGTGTCATTTTCCTACTGCTCAATACTTATTTCACGTGTGAAATGTTATTTTCTATTTTATGGTACGATGTGGTCTGCTTGATTGGTATATAAACAGAGTATGCTTGAAATATAACGATTCATACCTCAGAGGCTGAGACTTATGTTCTGGACCCAACTGGCTGGGCTAGACAGGGAAGTGGGGCCAATAAGAACTCTCGGCCGTTCTTACGTGTTTACGCGTCTCTGGTCCGATCGATAATTCGTTGCCCTCTAATCTGCAGTCCACAGTCATAACACATGGGCTCCAGTATCCTGAGGAAACAAATGGAGTATAAACTGATTGTTGGTCACCAGCTACCATGAGACTGCGTTTCCTTGCGTTGCTCCACTGCCTTGTGGATTAGACCTTTAGGTTGAAGGCTCCTAGTATGGCCCCCTAAGAAAACTACCTACTTCAGTTTGAGCACCCAGGCAGTATCCCAGCCCCCATACAAATCGAATGGTTTATATGGTGCATATCTATTTGGTGCCTCCTTGTATCAATGTTTATGTAAATAATAAATACGTATGATGTTAACAAGTGTTATAGATTGATTTATAAACAAACTGGTGATCAGACCTCCTAAATTACTTTTGAAAGTCATTTCATTGCAAGTTTGGTTTTTTTATTCTACCTTCATTCTATGTGGCTCAATGTTATACGATGAAATCACCATATGATTTTCCTTGGTTTATATCGACTCTATTCACTTTTACTATCACATTTTGTATTTGATTAAGACAGTTCATCCTGTTGTTTTATAAAACGGTATAACTAGTATTTTTACTTTCCACCTGGGCTTACTCAGTATAGAGCTATGGAGATTATTAAGTTTTTGATTGAGATCATGAATCAAATGATGTTAGATCACCATGGAAAACCTGGAAGCATTGAGCGGCCGTATCGTCCTAGTGTGGTGTTCCTCAGCAATACGCGCGAAACCGAAAGCCTTGGGTACGAGTTCCACGTGCAGGATCGTGGATGCGCACTACTGAAAAGTCCCATATTGGGAAGAAACAGCCATCCAATGCTTCTAGGTTTTCCATGATAGTCTAGCTTTAATCGATTCATGAATTCAACTATTAAATACAATACTATTAATTTGCCTCTAGTTTATTATTCATAAGGTTAAAGTAAATCTGTAAACTCTCTACGTTAATTTCTGTGTTGGGTGTGTTTACATTTACGTGAATTTATTCTCTATTAGGTACTTACTTAGTTAACTATACATCAACTCATGTAACTATGACAACCCAATAATCCATAATGCAAATCAATAATTTCATCTGTCTACAAACATAACGATTAGTCATAATTAGGGTAATGGTATGAAGTCTTTTGTATTTGTTTAGGTTGTTTCCTTTAACAATTAAACACTATATTAATGAACAATTTGAAATTTCAAAAATACGAAATTTAGCGAAAGGATCTCTTTTTAACCAATTTATTATCAAGCTGTACAATCATATTTATATATGAAAATCGTTTTGTTAAAGTACTAGTTCCGTGAGAAAATGTGAACAAGGAATAACCGAAATGACGTAATCGAAAAAATTGTGATACTAGATTACGTAATAGGAATAGTAACAACAGACTTAGTAAGTTAGTAACAAATTATAACGTGAATATAGTAAGATGGCTGAAATGTTCTTGTTACAATAATTAATGGTCATAGAATCTCGGCTTCCAACAACTGGAAAGGATTGCCCAGGACACGGTTGGATGGAGAGTGCTGGTGGGCTCCTCCACAAGGAGTAACAGGCGTAAGTAAAAGTCATAGAGGTGCAAAAAATAAATAAAGTGATATGATGAGTACTTGTGAATAAAATAATGAGTATATGAGACATAAGTAACGGAGAAATGCAGTAATAATAATAATGGCCAAGGTAACGATAGCGATAGAATGTACTACTTCTGTACGCCTAGTTCTGGCTTCAGCTCACGGATGGTAAGAACTCAGGCTATTTTTAAGAGTTAGATATGAAGAAATTTAAGTAGATTTGAACGAATCATATATACAACCTTAAAATCAAACTATGGATCCTTAGAATGATTACAGCCGATTAGCTGTTCGAGTATAGAACTCCTAACTGTCTTCCTATCACCCTTGTAGAAACAAACTGAGGCGGGTTCCTGTATCGGAGTTGAAAGTGAGCGCTGGCTCTTCCACAAGAGTAGGTGAACTGGTAGATTCACATGGAGTCGACCAGACGTGAAAGCCTATCTTTTATGGATACAGAAAATAATTTCCTGCAGCTGAACTTTATTCGCAGTTTTGCCACACTGAATGTTCTTTTAATCGCTGTCGTTAAACGATTTTTAATTACATCAGGTGTTCGATCACCTTTAAATTCCAAACTTATATAGAGGTTTTTCTTTGGGACGGAATAACGAGATTTCTTTTCACAACCGCTTCTCATTTTCTTTTATCTATGAAGCGGTCTGGATGGCCATTTTTCGTCAAAGTTTTCCTGAGGAATGAGAGTTCTTAGTCAAAGAATTCCGTACTACATATCCGATGACATAAAGAGTGAATGAGGTTTCTCTTTCTGCTTAAAGGAATCCAGCTATATATATATATATATATATATATATATACAGCTTGATAATAAATTGATTGAAAAGAGATCCATTCGTTTATCGAAGAATTATTAATTAGCTATTCAACAGAATAATTCTACTTCCAATCATTGGAAAAACGATCAGTATGATTTCTACCGTAGTGAGTAGACAACAAGCGCTAAACGAGAAATTGGAGTGCATTTGATTCCTAGTGAAGACCAAATATTCTCTGCCCAGAAATACAGCAAAACGATGCACGTTTTTTCGAGAGACCCTTTATGGTGTACGAGTAGGATGGAAGAAAGCTAGGGGCGACAACACCAAAACATGGCACAAATTCATCAAGTCACTGACAAGTGGACTCAGCCATGTCGGTAGATGCAGACTATTTGGTTGGGATCCGCGGGACGATAGCAACCGATGCTTAGAGACGTTGAATGACATGGTTCAAATTCGT